AACGGTCATTAACGGTCACTGACGCTGATCCGCGAGAGCGAGGTCAAGGCCCTGTGCGCCAAGGCCCGGTAATTAGCGCTAATTAACACTAATTAGTGATCGTTAGTGGGGGTGGGATGGGTATTGATGGGTATTGTGCTTGTTAGAGCTCGTTAGTGCTCATTAATGCTCATTAACGGTCATTAACGGTCATTAACGGTCATTAACGGTCATTAACGGTCATTAATGCTCATTAATGCTCATTAACGGTCATTAACGGTCACTGAGGCTCATTAACGGTCATTAACGCTCATTAACACTCATTAACGGTCATTAACGGTCATTAACGGTCATTAAGGGTCATTAACGGTCATTAACGGTCACTGACGGTCATTAACAGTCATTAATGCTCATTAATGCTCATTAACGGTCATTAACAGTCATTAACGGTCATTAACGGTCATTAACGCTCATTAACGCTCATTAACGCTCATTAACAGTCATTAACGCTCATTAACGCTCATTAACGCTCATTAACGGTCTTTAGTGCTCATTAATGCTCATTAACGCTCATTAACGGTCACTGACGCTGATCCGCGAGAGCGAGGTCAAGGCCCTGTGCGCTAATTAACGCTAATTAACGCTAATTAACGCTAATTAGTGATCGTTAGTGAGGGTGGGATGGGCATTGATGGGTATTGTGCTTGTTACCCCTAATTAGCGCTCATTAACGGTGATTAAAGGTCATTAACGCTGACTAATGCTCATGAACGCTGATTAACGCTCGTTAATTAGCACTAATTAACGCTAATTTGCCCTCATTAACGCTAATGAGTGTCCACTAATGCTCATTAGTGCTAATTAATGTTAATTAACCCCAATTAATACTCACTGACATTTATTAATGCTCATTAGTGCCAATTATGCTAATTAACCCTCATTAGCACTCACTGACACTAATTAACTCTCATTAATTAATGCTCATTAAGGCTCATTAGTGCTAATTAATGCTAATTAACCCCAATTAACTCTCACTGACACTAATTAACTCTCCTTACTGAATGCTCATTAGTGCTAATTAACCCTTGTTAACCCTTGTTAACTCATTAACTCTAATGAATGCCCACTAACGCTCATTAGTGCTAATTAACGCTAATTAAGGCTTGTTAACTCTCATTAACGCTAATGAGATTCCATTAAGGCTCATTAGCGCTAATGAACCCTGATTAACCCTCGTTAGCACTCACTGATGCTAATTAACATTCATTAAGGCTCAT